TGGCAAAGTTGAAGAGGGATGGTGAGATTGGACAACCCAGATTGACCCAACTACTCGAACACAACAATAGGGAGAGGTGGTTGTATGCTCTCACTCTGCCTGAGATGTTTGTATATAGTGAACTCAGACACACCTTTCTTCAATACACAATCCCAGTGAACAATCCTGTCCAGCGAATTGAAGGCGGCCCTGATATCAAGAACACTACGATTGTTAGTCTGTAACAAGTATAACGGTGTTCTCACACTTGGCGGGTGTAATAGGATCTTGACTAGGACGAAAAGCAGGCTGCTCCTCAGGAGTCAATGCTTCTCGGGTTTTGAACAATCTGCAAAGTATGACGGAGTCCAGTGTTTTGGGCTCAATCGGAAGTAGACTTATTACCTGATAGTTGTTGCATAGGTGATGTGAACCCTTTTTAAAGATAGGGACAACTATCGACTCATTCCACAATGTTGGAAATTTCTCTAATTGCTATACAACTAAGTCAGTTCCTTAACCTGGAGGTCGACACCATCTGTACAAAGAACCAGAGGTAAGTAATTTTACTCACTATTTTCATCGCGTCATGCAATTGTAGCCGACTCTCACCTGTACTTTTCGGTGGGATGGTAGCTAGCCGTGAACCTAGCTCGGTTTAATATTTAGTTGCAACAGAAGCTGCAACCAATTTTCTGACATCGATGCGTTTAGGACGATGAATTTGTTGGCCACTGAAACGTAGGATAAAATTACCGCAAACAATAGCATGATCGGAGTCCAGATAGGTACTCTGAAAGGAGAGACGGTTCCGTGCTCAACCACACCAGCGTTAGCTGATCGCGATGTGATCAATCTGAGCCTACGCTCGAGAATCAGAAGGGAGGACACCAGGTGGCACATCGGTGGTGACTGTGCCTGTAGTTAGTGCTAGCCAGAAACAGGTTGTGATCTGCACACAGTTGCAGTAGACGGTTACTGTTATCTGATCTGTGACCAAAAAGTTCCCATCGGTCATTCCAACGATTCTTTTTTGTGTCTAGTAGCCTAACCCGATCTTTTAATTATCCGCTTATAACTACAGTATTTGTCGAACTCACTTTCTGTAGAAGAACACTTGAGCGGTGGTAGAACTCATCCTTAATTGCCTCTGTTGGAGCCTTTGACCTAGAGGTCTAGTCCATCGGACAGTGGAGCAACTTTAGGAACTGTAATTTCATGGTAGTCAGTGACCAGAAATAGGTTCATATGCCATTTGCCCCCTGAGAATCCTGGAGCTCCTGTGAACAATTTGTTCGCAGTCAGGGTTTTCTACCTCCCTTAGATAGACCCTTCATACCCAGTAGCCCTATTTAAGAACTGGACTTTCGCTTTTCGTTCTTTCAATTTCGTAAACAACACTCCCGCCTCGAGAAGGCAATGCATAGTAATTCGTAGTTTAACAGATTTATTTCTGCCTTGGAAAATGAAAATACATCTCCCAGTTAACATATTCTGCTTGCTTCCCGTTACATTATTTTAGTATCTCGTTTATTTAGATTTTTAAGGTTATTATTTCCCTACTTAACCTTTTAAAATGAGACTGGACTGAGATTTTGAAATGTTTGAGAAGATTTGTAGCCCAAGTGTATGGTTTGGGTGGATTGTTGTCCTCTGAGCTGAATGGTTTGGTCATGGGGCTTCCGAGTGGCTTCATCAGCGCAAATGATGGAAGCTTCACGACCAAACCATCCAGCTCAGAGATCAAAACTCCACTTAAAACTGGACTGAAATCGTTAATAAATTAGTTAGTGAGTAATTTAGTCTAATACAATATTGCTGGCATTCTCTAAAGACTTTTCACCATCGATACAACTTGATTTCAACTTCAATAGTTTAAAAATAACTATGGATTATTCCATTTGTCAAAGCATAATATAACGACTTTTGACTATATATCAGTGGTCTTTGATTTACATTGTATGGAAAGAAATCGATTCTCTTAAATGGTTTAAAGAAATACACAAATAGAAATGAGATATATTTTGTTGTTCTAGTCATCCTGAAAGTGAAAACGTACTTTTTTTCTCACGATGACTGAGAATTCTTTGGAAGGTACTCTTATAATTATTTCGAATTGGTAAAAAGTTTGATGAAGCTTTAGGACGGAAGTTAGTCATCAGATGTTTGCTTCTGCAAGTTAGGTTGGGATGGTTATTATTTCTACTGAAGGCCAGTCACTTACTTGTCTCCATGCACTGAGTTAGTGTGTAAGGACATCTCAGGAAGTCCTAAATAAATGTCATAAGTGTTTTCTTAGTCCAACAAATTCCCTCATCTCCAATCTTTGTTTTCTGGTCGTGAAATTCTACTTAGTTTTGTAGTTTTTGGGGCTGTCAGTCATTATGCTTGCCTCTTTAAACATAATTTTAGCCTTCCTTATTTAACCCTATACTGAGTTCATTTGTTAGGGAGAAACACTCAAGCCTCTGACTTTATTACTTTCACGGTTTGAAGAAGGTCGATTATTTGATTTGTTTATCTCATCGCTTCTGGTATATCTTTATCGTGAATTATGCTCTTGTTCTATGTGCGACTTGATACGAACAAATCATAGAAAGCTCTATACTATAATTTCTACTGCTCTATTTAAGTATCCTGAAAATCGTTATAACTAAAATTTCATTGGAAAGAAACCAACATTGTGGTTTTATAAACTACGTTACATTTTGAGTTGATTTAATATTAAAGTTAAATTAAATTTTGGTTCCTCATAGTGTCCAGAGTATTTTCGTTTGCTTCTTCTGTTCATATATCTTTTTCAGATAGTTAAAATCGTGACATAGCTTTTCCCCGTAATTTTGTCGATTTTTTCTTATTCCTAGCGTATCCTTGATAATATTAGCTGTTTTCTGTTTTGCTACTTGTTTATATATCAGTAATATATATTTCGATAGATAAGGAACTACTTGGAAGGTGTTGCACGAGGCCAATAATACAATAAAATTTATCAGTTTGTTAACAAGTATTTCATTCATATGACAATGGTATATGGAAAAAACAGAAATTGCTTGAATATAACATGTATTTGGGGGATTTGTGAATAAGGAAATTCGATGCTGTAAAGAGCAGCTCAATGGGGCGATCGCCTTTTAACCATTGCATTATCTAAGCTAAACAACCACGTCTTTTTATCTCGTCTATAATATTTTCAATGATAATAACTGGTTTATCGTTCGTCAGGATAGAATTGTAGGGAGAAATATACAAAAAGATATCCACGCATAAAATTAGAGATTTAAGACAACGGAATTGTCATAAGAACTGAAAAATTAAGCGGAATTGTAGAAATGCGTTGCTTAACTTGGTACAACAAATCAGAAAGTTAAATGTTAGCAAAAAATTTACATAAACACGAAATAATACCTCTGATAGTGGATCTCTTCACGTAACTACTCTCTCTCATTTTTAAATTTTAATAAGTGTTTACAGTTTATTAACTAACCATAAAAAAAAACACTATGTAATCGGATGTATGAGAGAATATAATTTTATTATTGAGGTGACAAGTTGATAGTTTCATGGTTAAAAAACCATTAAGTGATTCAATTGAAGTGGTTATGATACAGTTCCTTCATTTCAAATTTCAAAAATTATAGTTTTCTCCCAGAAACTTGGATTTTGTATGTATTTAATTGTAAAAATAGACATACAGTGATATTTAGTGGTTCATGTAAAACTATATTATCATGGAATTCTAGGGTCAAGTTGCACTGCGTGGAAGTTGCTTTTATCTTTTGAATGAACAGCACTTTTCATAAATGAATTAATGTTGATTCACCTGCGATTATATAAAAGCTCTGATTTCGATTTCGTGTGGTATATTGTAATATTTTGATTTGTCAAATTAGCATTATATTAGTTATGACAAGCCTCAGGTTTTTCTGTATCTGAGGTTTAGACACTTAAAAATAAAACTGGCGTTCCTTATGAAGATATTTTTATAAGTGTACCTTAAATATGTAATATTGATTGTTTGTTTTTTGTTAGGGATTCGTTTGATCGTGTTTGGTCTTCTGAGATGAATCGATTTGTTTGTTTGTCATTGAATTTTTTATTGCTGTAAGCTATAGGAATAAACCATTAAAATAGTAATCGTAATTCGATCATTCTGTTTTTTGTTTTCGACACTAATGATTATAAAATTCATCTTAGGCTTCATAAACAGCTCGGTGAAGACTTGATTAAACTTGTTTATATCATTTATTTGGTTTCAAATTCAAACCTAATTTAATTTGTAAAACACAATTATAGTATAGAATATGAAAACGATAAGGCTTAGTGATAAATATTACTGATCTTGGTTCAAATATAAAGTTAGTTATTGTTGGAACTGTTGATAAATCTATTCAAAGTAAATATACGGTGAGTATTACAATAATTAACTGTTATTTTGAAAATTATAAGCGAAATTTTAATGATTATAGCACTTGGATTCCGCAGGTTCAAACACTACTTCATCTACTTTGGCGTTCGGCTAGGCATGTTATTTTAACGAATTTCACACGATAAATAGGGAATAAAGTACATTATGCAAATTTGTAACCGACTATTGAGTGACATGATTATTACTTTTCTTCTTCTTTTTCTTCTTCTTCTTCTTCTTCTTCTTCTTCTTCTTCTTATTATTATTATTATTATTATTATTATTATTATTATTATTATTGTTTAACCGAATTTCTGTCTAACCACTAAGTAGTCTACCTTAATCTTTTCTGTAAAGGGAAAACTGTTACTACATTCTTTTTCCATCCATTTTCTGTTTCTGATTTTAGGGTTCCGTTGTAGCTGATGGACTAGGTGTAACTTGTTGGTGGGTCAGTTAACCTGAAAGAAAACTCTTTTGATATGATATTTTTGTTTATAATGTATGTATTTCAAGATTCTTAAACTTGATTATTACTGGGGTTATTTTTTGTTTTTAATGAAATATTATTGTTAATGGTGATGACGGTAAATTTGAAGAGAAAAAAGACGTATGTACCCTCATTACTTTCTTTTTAAGAAAAGCGGAAACGTCATGATAAACAAGATTATATATATATATATTGAGTAAACAGAAAATATAACACAAAAAATATATAAATTTTTGAAAATAAAAGCGTTATTTATTAATTTATATACTGTATCACAGAAGAAGTTGACGAGAGGTGATTTTGTTTGATTTCAATTGTTATAAGACGTGATTTGTATGAACAAAATGGAAAGGGATAGAAGAAAAAAAATACTTGTATGGTATGTATTAATTACGCATAATTGTCTTATGATATATATATACCACATGACGTAGAATGTAAAATGATAAGTATATGTATATGAGTATGTATGTATATGGATATGTACATATTTTATATTATTAACATAATAATTTACAACCGGGTAAATTTTTGTTCAAATATAACTTCACTGGTTGTGTAGCTGCTGGTAAATGAGCCAATTCCAAATAATTCAAACGTGGATGACGAGCTAATGTACATAGACCATCCTCAGTTATCCTTTTACAACCTATTTAAATAAAATTAAAATTGTATGAAATATATTATATGAAGGTGAGAAACTAAGTGACAAATGGATTTTATAGTTTATTATTCGGTGTTGTTGATCTTGTTCTCTTGTTTAAAATACAATAGCTAAGATAAGGTTTTGTTCCTTAAGTCAATGCATTAGAGTATCGTACCAACTATCAGTCAGCTCTCAGAGCAGGTCGTACAAGATTTCACAGAAGCAGTTCACTAATGGTTGTCACATAACAGCGAAATAATATCGCTGTTTGAACTTCAGATTCGAAAACCGATCAATAAAAGGTAGTAAAAACCAATCTTCAAAATATCATGCTTCTGGGCACTGATCTTCATGAGTCTCATAAAAGGTTTATAAAACTCGTATATTTGGTGATTGAATCAGCGTCTTATAAACCTTCGTTCGAAACCGTCAACAAAGAGATCTTAGATTCTTAGAAGTAGTGTATTTCTTGATCTCTGTATCTGAATAATCAAAGAATCACTATAGTGTATACAAATCGGTTCACAAGCAAGTGTTATTGCACAAATAGAACAAAATTTTCTCTATTAGTGGTAAATGACTTAAAATTAAGGTGGCAGATTTTGAATACTAGTATCTTACAAAAAATCTTCGGTGTTTTCAGAAGATCCATGTAATTTCATTGATGATATTTTCTTGTTATATATTTCTTCTCGGACGAAAGGCTTTTTTGTCAAGCTCATGGTTATTCGTTATTCGATCTGCAAATAGCCAGTCTTTTCTGTTAAAGTTGTTTTCTTTCGATCCTTTATAGAGAGGTATTATGAGTATTTCTGCTTCCTGCTTTTCATTTGATCCATTTACAATAAAAAACAACAGTCAACTAAATAGGCTGTGGGATCTTTATAAAAACCAAATCCTAGTTTTTTCTGTAAAGTATGGTTTAACTCTTCGGTACCGTTTTCCACTGATAAAATGAAGTGGTTGACTGTCTTAATCACTCCACTTATCTGTAGGCAAGTTAATTATCAAAAAGTTACTCTTGTTTTACCGTACGACTTACATGTATTATTTGAAGTCGAATAATATACGAACACTCGAAACTAGTAGTTATCTTTAAATCATCTCTTGCGTTTGAACGAAACATTAAGTCAATTTCAAAGCTCTGAGTAATGGATATAATTGGCTTGCTTGAATCATAAAACTGGTAAATTGTACATGTAACTGTGTAGTGTTAGCCTAGATTAGAAAATATTCTGGAATTGTTAGACTAAAGTTAAAAATGTTCAAAATAACTTAGTTTAGAATTATTATTACTGGCCTATCCAGAAATTGAAACATATCTTACTAATGAAGGATATTTGATTCCAAAATTATGAACGGACGATTTTAAAATATTGAATTAATTTGAAATGGTGTAATTATGGACTGAACTTGTGGGCCCGTAAATTGTATTCGCTAACCTGAAATTAAAAAGGCTACAAATTCATTTCTGATCATTCGTTTTCGATTTCAGTATGTAACATTAGGATTACTTTGATGAGCTCTCATTTCTTCAATTACAGTTTAACAAAGTACAACAAATTATAATTCCGATGAATTCGTTTACTCACTCTCTTATGATTTTGAAAGTGCATATTTGATAAAAACAATGTCATTGCTAAGTAAGTATGCATGTATAACTTACCACTTAAGCATAGATAATTTAATCCTGTCGTACTAAGTAAATGAGGTATACTACCGTCTGATAAATTGACACACCATCTTACGCTGAGATGTTGAAGACTAGACATTGTCGCTAAATGGCTTATTCCCAGATCAGTCAATTCTGTACACCTATAATTATTGAAAGCGGGTGAATGGGGGGTTGGAGATATCAAAATTGTAAAGCAAATTTATGATTAGAAAAGAGGATAATAATTTTATTATGATCATAAGAAAATATCAGTCTCTGAAACTACCTTCATGAGTATAACTGTTCTCTTCATATCCTACTAATAACTAATCACAACACAGATGTGTGGATCAATAGTTAAAAAGAAGTAAGCTCAAATTAGATACTATAGTTACCAATTCAAACTAATAATCAAAAGTGATGGGTAATTTGGAGACATATTAGAAATACAGCACTGAAATTATGAGATTGAAGGTGAAATACGTTAACATTTGTTGAGAATGTCCCGAATATAATGTAATTTAGGCTTGAATCAGATTTTAGGACAAATACATCCATGAGGTCAATGGTCACAATAAAGGGAAGTAGTTTGAAGCATAAAAACCACTTGTAATGTTCAGCCAGATTACGTAATTCATGAAATGATATGAATTAAGTGAAATATAATAAGAAAGGAGTTACTATTTAATACATTGTTCGACTATCTAAGAAGAGAGATAGTTCAACCAAATAAGTTTAAACTGTAAAATACAGAAGGAAAATAAATATAGACTACCTTAATCTTGAGATAATCTTTTACTTATTGAACATGTGACCAATCAAAGTAGAAAAGATTCAACCTACTTTTCGTGGATATAGATCTGTGAATTTTTAATGGTGCTAGTTCTTTGATAGTCTAAAATCTGTAGAGAATGCTTTATGCCTCCACTAATGACTTATGTCGCTCGATTATTCATTCAAATCAGGATGTAATTGCATCGAGGTTGGTGGATGGGTTTTATGCTTATCCTTGGGGTTCTTTCACTTTTACTTGTGATGATGAAATACGTTATGATAGTTGTGTATGACTGCTACCTGACATAATTACTTAGTGCTGTAATTTCTAACGTATACGTATGCTACGAACATGCAATAAAAAGTCACTAGAATAAGATCATATAACAATGATTTAAATTATTGAGTTGGAAGTTATTGCAATAGAAATTCAGTGAAATACACTTTATTATCATTATGATTGGTTGTTTGATTATTCTAGTCATAAAAGTAATAAGCAATTGAGACGTATGTTTATGAATACAATTGATTTATCATTGATGGGCTGTAATTACTCATGGACAAAAAACATTGCTTTTATATCAATTTGAGTCCATCTGAACTTTGGGGAAATATATTTTTAATATTTATCTATACTATGCAAGGTTATGAATAACAATAATTTATTCATAACCGTTAATTGTTAATGAATGGTTATTTTTTTTAATTTCTTGCATTATTCCCTACTATCTCTTGAACACTCGAGAAAAAGCCAAAGTGTGTGAATTAGGATCTAGAAGTCTGTCAGTGAAGTCGGTGATAAACCTTTTGTGTTTATTAGTTAATTGATTGTGAATGGACGTTTGGACTCGTGTAAGCAACTGATCAGTGTTATGTAAGCAAATGCAATCTATGCTCCTTACTCATAGTTATTCATTGGTGAAACGAGAAGCGTGTAATTTAGGATTCACATAAGTAAAATCAAATGCAAAATCTACATATCACTTTAACCAACTCAAAGAGAAAATTGTAAATCAGAGAATTGGCTGGTTGAAACAATGTTTTAATACTTTTGTCATTGGGTTTTTACAATTAAAATGTTGATTAAGAAGAACTTATATCGAAATTTTATATCTTGTGTTAAGAATTTCTTATTATACTTTGATGTAGTATTTAATAAGATGGTTATTATCTAATAACATAAAGAAATATATTCTTCGTGTAGCTGGTCAAGAACTATACAACATTTGAATCTTGTGTAACAAATTCATACTACAGTATTAGTTCTAATGATCAAAGTATATCTACTTGTGTGAAGCTATGACTTGGCTGTTTTATTTTTTACGTCGCCCAAGTTAGTGGATTGTAATGTTTCAAGTTACCATACCTACACTGGTTTTGAACAGGCAAAAGTTACAGATATGCTTTATGTACATTTACGTCTATCTAGTTAACAAAAATGTGTAAATTTCTTGTAGTAATAAAATTACAATAATCTATGATGGACGACCTTAGTATAATTTTGCAAATTGGTAAGTAATACTGGTTTGTTCAATTGAATACACTGATCGATCATGTAATAGTAACCGATGTTCTGATTTTTAATCTCTATTGCTAATCGAAATATATTGATTAAGTGAAAATGCGACCACTAGACTAAGCCATTCAACATGGCGGTATATTATGTTTCTGATATGATATAGTTGAAAACAATAGATGGAGAATCCTGGACTTAGGCTTCATATCAGTTGATTCTGGCCAGCAAGTATTATTTTCAATTTCAGTTCGTATATTGTACCAGTTGCTATCATTACTTCTTCACTTGTCTTAACATGTAGTTACCTTCAAATATGAAATAAATAGAAAAAATGAATTCATTGATCATATTCTAAATAAATTTGTTTGATTCGTGATTCAGCAAATTTATTGAAAACAATTATAAAACTGTATGCATAGTAGCAAAGCAATCGATAATTTAATGTAAGACAAAAGACATTTATTATTATCATTATTCGAACTGACGTTGTGATTGGATAGAGATAAACGACTATGTAAATCGGTTGCGTAACATATTAAAACGAAATGGAGAATAAGATAAATACAAATTTTATAAATGAATTTAAAGTAAGATGTTAACAGGACAAAAGAGTTGGTCAATACTTAATAGTGAAGATGAAGACTATAGTATTGAGTTATGCAGGCCTTACTAGAACATGCTTCCTAGGTGAAGGACACACGCTATGGGGTTGTAGAGAAGAGAAGGACTAACTGTTTTTGTAACGTTTCTTTTCACAGTAGAGATAGCCTTAGATGATAAGTCTGTTACCACTGAGTGACTTTCACTTCTTATTAATTTATTATTTCCTCTAAGTATACCTGGTTGGGGACCGCGAGATGATAGCAACCGATGGTTAGAGACCCTGAATGACATAGCTCAAAATCATTTGCAATGGCGCAGATGCATCCACTCTTTGTGGTCTCCCTGATTCTAATCTGTATTCTTCATGTCCCTTTTTTCTCCCCCAAAATTTATTTCACTGTGTTATATTCTTTAAATAACATCTCCAAACCCTAATCTTCCCGATCACTGCTTATACTCTTACTACCTCTACCACTACGTGATTTGAATCGACAGTTGTATCTCTGTGCTAATGTGGTATGGCAACTCGAACTGATGTACGTACGTACGAAGTTCTACGTTGTTACTGACTGACTGATTCGTGCAAAATAGTCTTTTGGAACCTGCTGGATATAATGGTTACTGAAATACCAAATACACATAAGTAGGTGAAATGGCTTGTACGAACAAAAGTGGTCAAGTGTATTAGTTTCGCTGTTACATTTTGAAAAATAATAGCTTGTTGTAAAACCTTAACCTCTAAAGATATACCTAAAGACGTCACCCCAACATAATCTCATTTAAATGGAGCTGTATAGTAGAGACTGGTACGATATCAAGCACACATAGGTTATTCTAGCTACTGAACAATTCGCTCATTATTCTCACGCCACATTTTGACATTGTCAATTATTCTCTTATTAACTCTGACCATTTTTTATGTGAATGCAAATATTAAGTCATATTTGATCAAAAGGAGTTGGCTCACTCGCCTTCTTCGTTGCGTGTCACTTCACTTCGTTTCTCTGATTGTCTGTCCAGATCAATGAGTGTGTGAAATATACGTATTCAAAATTCATTCTCATATTTGGCTTCTTTTACTCTGTTATTCGCTAACGCGAATTAAGTTGATGAAAATATACGAGGGTTGGCGGCACGTATATTTCGATAACAATCAACATACGATCTAACTAGGACCAGGGCCACTAAAGTAACTCAGTGTCAAGGAAATGCATGGGGTAAGCATTATCAATGATGGCATACTGCACAGAACTTAATGTACTGAAGCCTTTTGTGCCCGGATAAATATAAGTATTTACAGGTGACTCACACTGTCATATATTACTGTCATATACACTCCTATTCGCACTGACAAAGAGCTAAGAGGCACAAGATGTCTACTCTTTTAAGAGCCATACCACCTGTAGGGAAATTAAACACGTTCTAGACGAATTTGTTGAGGTACTAACGAACGGACAGTGGTTTTGGATGACAGAACTGAATAAGTTGGAAGAGTTCTAGTCAGCTTGTGTGCTTGTCTATGCACACATATTTTGAGTCTGAAAGTTAAAGAACATCATATTTAACTCCACTACCGGTTTTGAATAGTGCAGATTGGAGTTGTAAAGTGTAAATATACATGATGATGAACTTTCTAAGAAAAAGTCAGCGTTACAAATACAGAACATAGTTATTCTCAGAAGAGACTTAATTTTAGGAACCACAATGGTTACTTGGTGATACTAAACGTGAAAATGTTCTCAACATAATCTGTGTAATAACAGTCATTATCTTTGAAATAATCAACTTCACAAATCTTATTGAAGAAAGAGTAAATAAATTGTTATGTTTTGAAGAGGATAAGGATTCAAATGCAAAGATTTCCACATTCATAGGAAGTGGTTTCATAGTGATCTAGTTCTAATTTGAATCTTCTTGGGAGTTTGCATCCCCTACTTACACGTAATCGTACCAAGGACCTTCAGATTTTATGATGAGTACAATACTATCAAACGATTTATCTCTAGTTTTCAAATAGTTCTACAGCAAATATCGTTTCGTGGAAAAAACTGTCTTGAAATTGTACGATCTTTATATCAAATCCTATGAAGAACTGTGCTTACATATCAGTATGAATTAATTAATATGACTTATTTACTAATCATTAAACAGTGAAGTAAAATGAAACTTGGTTGTTTTTATTTCAAGTGCAAAGAAATAAAGTTTTGAAGGACACATTCTGAGGTGGTGGTGATTAGACAGTGGATAACTAGGTTCATTTTATTTTGTCTTCATTTTAAGTGGCAAGTTATAAAATTTTAGTAATAAAGCCGAGAAATCCGTCATGTTAGTTATTACAGGTTGTTTTTTTAGAGTGTATTATTATTATTACCATTACTATTGCTTCTATGACTATCAAATATTTTTTTGAAAAGATAAAAACCAACTTCCAAACTAACAGTAATTGAAATGGATGATTACGTAACTCATAAAAGTATGGTGATAAAAACAGAAAAGACAAAGCTGTTAGGTTTTAAGGTATAACCCGTATGAGGCTTGTTTGACATACGACTCCTGAAACCGTTATAATACCTTATGGCGGTGATAATCAGCTATATGATTAAAGTATTTATTAATGTGCACATTAATGAAACTATCATTCGTTTAAACTTCGTTTCTTAAAAAACTATGCATTAACTCAGTATGGTATACTTAGGTGTTTTACCAAACGCATTCATATTTGTGAGGAAATATATGGTCATCTACCATTTGCATTCGTGTTTGACGGCTTGTTTGAAAATGAAAAAAAAACACTAAAAGATGGTGGATAGGTTTAAAGGGTTTGTAAAAATAGGGCTATTGCATATTAAAAATAATTGGCATCAAATACTGCGTATTTGATTAGTAATATCAATGAGTAATATAATAACCATAGTCTTTCGCGAAGCTAAAATTTTAAAATCTCATTAATTCTACTTTTGAAGAGAATTACAATGGATATGAGGAGCGTCCTCTGAAGTGTGTTCTTCAAAACAATTGAGACAACTGCTCTTTAGATAGGAGTAACTCAGTACAGTATTTTCTGATTCATGAGCTTTCTTCTCTATAATCTAGGAAATCAGTTATGGAGTATAAGTCTCTCAGATATAGTTTTCCGTAAACGCAAAGATACACTTGGAGGTAGCTTTTAAATTAGTATAGTAGATTTTGGTAAAATACAGAGTTGATTGATAAACTCACGTTACTGAATAGATCATATTATTAAGTTTCATAATATTTCCATATGTTAAGGTCTTAAAGTGTTCAAACATTCAGTGAATTTTTAGCGACGTCCTACTAAACATTTTTGTCTTCTTGTTGTGTGGATTTGAAGTTTGGTAACTCGAAGTGCTTCATAGTTGAGTCATGCTCTACTATTTTTATGATTGACTTTATGTAATAATTACTACCTGATATTTAGTGAATGCTTTTGGACGTTCCACTATGTCATATTAATACAGAAATGAGAGATGTTATTTTCCTATGATCATACGGAATATGATTAATATCAAATCAACCAATAAATCATTGATTTCTTCTTACTAAAAAACACTAAATTACATTATATTTCTGAAAAGAAATTTGATTTGAGAATAAGAACAATAATTTTATAATGAATAAAATATTAAACTAACGGATAAATAATGACAAAACTCTAATAAACTGTGTTCAGTGAAATTTCATTTCAGTAGTTTAACAGTGATTCAAACGTCGGGAGACTCGGAGTTCATAGACCCTATCTCATGTATAGTTGGAGTTAGTATTATGTTTATTTTAGGAATACTGTGTTTAGGATGATGCTTATCATATGTAAGCAAATCTCATAACTAAATAACACTGAACGGCCGTTTCGTCCTATTGTGGGATTCAGCGGTGCGTATCCACGATCCCGCCATATGCTCACTATCGAATGGCTTCAAGAGGTATTTCCTGGAGTTCTAGTGAGAAGGAGTGACCAGTGGAGTTCAACCGGGTCTTTTATGAAATAGTAACTTACTGCGGAGGAAGAAATCAAGAAGAAGCGCTGGAAGTGGATAGGACACACATTGAGGAAAGCACCCAAATGCGTCACAAGACAAGCCTTCACATGGAGTCCTCAAGGCCAAAGGAAAAGAGCAAGACCAAAGAACACATTACGCCGAGAAATGGAAATAGACATGAAAGAAATGAACAAGAATTGGATGGAACTAGAAAAGAAGGCTCAGGACAGAATGTGTTGGAGAATGCTGGTCGGCGGCCTATGCTCCATTGGGAGTAACAGGTGTAAGTAAGTAAGTAACTTACTGTAGACGATGGTGGATGTGTCAATGAATTTCGTGGATTAGTTTAAGTTAGATATTAACACCGCTGGGTGCCGGCTCGGTGGCCTAGTGGTTAGGCGCCCGCGTGAGACTGATAGGTCCTGGGTTCGAATCCCGCGGGGTGGGGTCGTGGATGCGCACTTCTGGGGAGTTCCATGCTATGACGAAACGTCCGTCCAGTGCTTGCAGGTATTCCGGGGTGGTCTAGCTTCAACTGACTCATGATCTAAACTATTAAAATTACTATAATATCCACAATACCCCTTTTTATACGTAAGGTATATATGCATATTTGGAATACAGTGTTTATATCTTAATAATAATTTTCGAAACCTTGATGCTGTTTACATTTATATTTATTTCAGTTTATCTACTGGCCTTATTCTCGTTTAAATGTTACATTACAAATAAAATTTTATCTGTTCTCATTTAAGAAGAATATTTTTATACGGAATTCATGGAGTTATTTGACTAAATATGTGATAACCCTTTTATCTAGTATTCATTTCGTCTTTGTAAAGTCAAATATTCTTTTGTATCTCTCCGCCATTGATGGGGATAGTGATTAGAAACGTCTAAAAAATTAAATTCCAATTAATGAGGATACCTAAACTTTAGAATTATAATCAAGTCAGCTATGAGAAAATTTCAATTCAAAGTGATCCTAATTTTTTAGTAATGTTATCTTTAGAAATCCTTATTCAATTAGAATGTCATAAGTTACTTATAACATACGCGTTATACTACTGAGAGAAGCAAAAAACGTAAGAAAAAATGAAGTTTTTTAAAAAATTTTCTCCATTCACTGATATTAACTAAAGTAAACAATAATAGTTTATCCAGAATCATCTAGGCGGAAATGATATGATCAAACCGATTTTGATTGTACTAAATATTCCTTGTTTCTCTTTACTGTTCAAAATTGTTTTAATTTAATTCACTTATTTGTTCTTTGAAGAAGTCACCAACATTAATCTGTGAAGCATAAGAAATTCAATTTTCTATTCACTACGATATTAGAAATGTATCATTTTATTATCATACATTACTTTTACACTAAAAACACCCATACACAATATCCTTCATGATTATTACTTGTTTAATAATGATTAAAATAATTACTTTTTGTTCATGTTAACTAAATTGAATTCATTTGTAAGGGTTTATATTTTTTAAAAACGTTGGTGGATATCTGGATTCAGTAGCTTGGTGTATAACTCATTGCTATTTGAAATAGTAGGTTCCATTTCGGAGTCTGAGTGTACACATCAACACTGGAATTTAGGCACATTCAGCTGACGAATGCTAAATTGGATGAAACACTTGTTCTGGCTTTTACTTCTGATCACAATCCAAATATATAAAACATCAATTTTTCGAAAACAGTTTGGAATCCGACCAATATATTAAATACACAAAGTAAACTAAATAAATGCTGACATATTCAAAAATTTGTTTGCAAGATTGCACTAGGTAAATGAATTGGACATGAAACAATAACGAGTACCAGCGTATGGACCTAGTCGTTTCTCATTATACGAAAAACAGATCTTCTGGATGGACCGTTATGTTAAATACAGCAAACAGCACTTGAATACATTATTTCAATTATGTTTCATTGAACCCCAAGTTTACTTCGATAAGCGTTTATTCAATAAAGCTATTTGAAATTCATAATATTTAACTCACATCTATCGTATAAGTTTGACGCGATTCACCCTGGTTATTTTGGAGGTGTTGAGTTCTCTGGACTGGTTGGTTGAATCGTGAAGCTTTCATTGTCTTTATAAACGTCATCTACATATACTTCAAAAAGAAGCGAGCTATTAGGATTTCTCCATAAATGATTAATATGCTAGTTCTATTATGATGAAACCATCCAGCTTAGAGAACGAAACACTTTCAAAGTCGCCCGATTGAGCCACGCTTATTCAATATAATCATTCTATTTATTGGTATTTTATTTAAACCATTTGATTTGAAGTAGTGGTTACATTATTAAAAATTGTCTTGTGTTTTATACCTAAATCATTGTATTCAGGTAACGATCAACGATAAGTTATTATATTAATACATACTTCATCATTCTGATACAATGGTAAAAATTTTGTTGCCATTTCAATCTTTAAGCTGATTGGGATGTTGTTTTAAAAGAAATGTTACGTTACATGATAATGTTTATTCATTGTTAATGTTTCCTCATATATATATGCGCGATAGTATAGCTTGATGGTAAATTCGTTGAACAGAGATTCCTTTGCTGAACTTCTTGTTTTTTGATGCGGTGCAAAATAATTCCAAAGATATCCATTTTGAGAACCTAGTACAGTCCCACGAAATGCGCTTCAGTGTCTTGATCCACCTCAGTCTGATAACATTTAACTTCTGTAACAGGCACCGTGATTATTTGGTTAGTGCCTTTAATGATAGATGTGAACTGCCATCGTTTTACATAAATCTAAGAATTTAAAAAGTTTATTAAATAGTCCACTTTTAGTTCAGAATGACCTATGAGTTTAAATAAAGTGTGAAAGTTATTCACTTGATCTAAGACATCTGAAGATATAATATGATAATGCCTCAAAATTGTTTTTCACTGGTTTGATTATTTCTGACGACTGTGGATACAGCTAAATTTTTGGAAAATTCTACTACCTACTGATAATAGTATTAAGACTGCATTTCCAAATATTCCATAAGTGTGGTATCTGCTTATATAATTCATAGTGAAATAAAAGTATCAGTATAAGTGATGAGAAAAAGAATAAACGAGAATATTATCGTCATCGATTTGCTGAAACTCACCTATCTAGTAGTAATTTTTTCAACAGAACTAAATCACATGCCACGCATTCTAATCCGCTGTCAGTGATCTTCGAGCACCATGATAAATTCAATGATATTAAACGTTTTAGATTTTCACATATCACATCTAAACCGTCATCAGTTAGTTTGCTGCATCCACTTAAACTCAAAACTTGTAGGTTGTTCAGCGTATAGGCCAGTGTCATAATACCTTGATTTGTTACATCCATACACTGAGTCAATTCCATTGTATGCATATTAATTCGTTGTTTTGTACTGAAATAACTTAATGCTGCATCTGTTATATGATAAGCTTGAAATTTAAAACATTTTAATTCTGGTAATAGATGTCCAATCGCATTCATACTTTCATCTGAAACATTGATGCAATCAAACACTGTTAAACATTCAATGCTCGGTAAAAGACAAGACCAAAATGCTAACTCAGTAAAATCGTTACAACACTCAAATTCCAATTGTTTTAAGGAAGGAAATAAATTTATTAAACGTGACAATGATTGGTCTAGTATACTACATGATTTAAATATTATATGAGTGAATTTATGTGTATATGATGAATTACTATTAATGTTCTCCAGACTTGAGCGATTTGAAGAGATAGAGTTTTTAGAATCACTAATTTTTTTTAATTTCCATGTATCACTCGATGCTGAAGGTGAATCAGTATTTAATGATAATTTATTTTGTATAGCATAGTTTACTGTTATAAGACTATTGTCTTGTATAAAACCATTTTGTTGTTGTTGTTTTTTCACTTGGTTTTGGAATGAATTAATAAAATCATTTGTCTTTAACATTGGGTTATTATTCTCGTCTTTTTCATTTATCCATGTTGAATAATTTTCATTTGATGTCAATAAGATTCGGTTGTTGAATGTTTTAGTTTTAGTTAAGGTGTTTGCAACTGTTGTATTTATCTGAGGGAAATACGTTTCTATAGTGGAGGATTGTGATAATGATGTCAAAATTACGTTGTGATTTGGGCTTAATAGCATTTCTAGTATATTATACAATACTGAACTAAATCTCTCAACTAACTGTACAATTTTAATGGTTTCCAGGTGTCTGTTTATAGCGGATACAATGCGAATTCGAATAGAGTCTTCTAAATAACTGTACAATAAATCATTTGGCAATGGAATGTGATCACTATGGTTTGAAATAATAACTGGATCTTTATAGTCTGCATATTGATTCGATTTTGAATCCTCGTGACTGTTTTCTATTTCCCTAATTAATTTTTTGATGTTTAAAACAAAGCATAATTTATTCTGGAAACCATTTAAACACATAAATTCATACCATGTACGGCATACGATTGAATAGTGAATCAGTTCATTTCCAGTTAAATAAACAAATATATTATTCATGAAATTCTTATTCAACCATAATGATTCAATTGTATGTGGACAACCTCTTTTTTGACGTCTTACATAATCTCGATAACGTGTACATGATAGTTTCTTAACTGGAATGTTTAAATTAATTCGTAGTCCTTGATTTACCAATCTTTGTTTTATGGCAGCTACTGTTGTTCCACGATGAGATGATAAGGGTGAAGAAGACGATGAAATTGAATTATTTGAATAACGATTGGATGTATAGACGGTAGAATCGCTACCATTGATACTATTATTGTTACTAACAATACTGTTTTTACAGTTACGTGCAAGAATAGCTAAACGATGTGTCATAGTCGGCGAAAGTGTAGCTTTGAATGTGAATGGGGAATCTGTTAAACTATTTATATTACTATGAGCACGTCTGTCATTAGCAGCATTGCTATCTGATGAAGGCTTATTTTTCATTGTAAAACTATGTCTTGGCACTGGACTACTGGGTAACGAGTTTGAGATCTTCGAATTCGATAATCGATAATCAGAATAATTTGAAATCACAGTTTTTAACGAATCACTATTTACAAATCCATTAGGTATAATGTTTTTTCTATTTTGTGTCATTGCTATTGTACTAGAAGAAATTGTAGGGTTTTCAAGGGAATTTATTTCAGAATGTTTTACAACCACTGACTTCCCCGATAATGATGAGTCTTCTTTTTCATCTGAAATTCTACCGCCAAGATTTGTGCTACTAATACTAGTAGTATTGCTATTGGTGTTACTTGCATCGCTAGCAGTGATGTTATTAGGGATAAAGAACAGTTTATTACAAAGGGTACATTTATCATCTGTAAAGTGTTCACTGTTCTTATGATTCTTCTCAAACCGATTTTTTTCTTCAGTTGAATTAATAACGGAATGATGATTGTTAGTTTTAGAATTAGTGGCTACAATTCTGTTAGTGACTGAAATAATATATTCATTTGTCACGGGGTTTTTTATTGCATCCGATTCAAAATTTAAAACAACTGATGACTTAGTCATTGTAGCTGTTGAATTGTTCACTGTGACCGTGGAAGAAGTGGTTGTAGCATTTGATTTAGTAAAACGTAAATTTTTCAAATTGTTAGAAAAGTCTATACATGCTTTGGCAAATGATGTCATATTGTTACAAACATTCCTGAGGTAACTAGGATGAAAAATAAAAAAAGCATTACGAAACACCATTAATAAGTTCTGAATACACGTCGTATGTTTTTTCATTAAGTTACAGTTTACTCATTTAAGACAACTCTTATTATTTTCCCAAGCATAGCGCATATCCTTCACTCAGTTGCAGTAGTCATAGTTACCAGAAGCGATAACAGATATAGGTCGAACCGTGTTATTTTGGGCATTTTTCTAGAAAGTTGAATATTATGATAGAAGTTTATTCGTAATTAATAATATCTAATTAAAGTGAGTTTATTTAAGCGAGCATTAGTTGTACAGGATAAAGAAGTCTAAAATTATCTTTTATGGGGAAACTAAATATCATTCTTTCATCCAGAAAATACAGGTGTTTATTAACAGTTGTCTACGCAAAATACTTCGGATCCGTTGGCCGGACACTATTAGCAACAACGTACTGTGGGAGAGAACAAACCAGATCCCAGCGGAGGAAGAAATCAGGAAGAAGCGCTGGAAGTAGATAGGACACACATTGAGGAAAGCACCCAAATGCGTCACAAGACAAGCCTTCACATGGAGTCCTCAAGGCCAAAGGAAAAGAGCAAGACCAAAGAACACATTACGCCGAGAAATGGAAATAGACATGAAAGAAATGAACAAGAATTGGATGGAACTAGAAAAGAAGGCTCAGGACAGAATGTGTTGGAGAATGCTGGTCGGCGGCCTATGCTCCATTGGGAGTAACAGGCGTAAGTAAGTAAGTAAGTAAGTAAGTAAGTAAGTAAGTAAGTAAGTAAGTAAGTAAGTAAGTAAGTAAGTAAGTAAGTAAGTAAGTAAGTAAGTAAGTAAGTAAGTAAGTAAGTAAGTAAGTAAGTAAGTAAGTAAGTAAGTAAGTAAGTAAGTAAGTAAGTAAGTAAGTAAGTAAGTAAGTAAGTAAGTAAGTAAGTAAGTAAGTAAGTAAGTAAGTAAGTAAGTAAGTAAGTAAGTAAGTAAGTAAGTAAGTAAGTAAGTAAGTAAGTAAGTAAGTAAGTAAGTAAGTAAGTAAGTAAGTAAGTAAGTAAGTAAGTAAGTAAGTAAGTAAGTAAGTAAGTAAGTAAGTAAGTAAGTAAGTAAGTAAGTAAGTAAGTAAGTAAGTAAGTAAGTAAGTAAGTAAGTAAGTAAGTAAGTAAGTAAGTAAGTAAGTAAGTAAGTAAGTAAGTAAGTAAGTAAGTAAGTAAGTAAGTAAGTAAGTAAGTAAGTAAGTAAGTAAGTAAGTAAGTAAGTAAGTAAGTAAGTAAGTAAGTAAGTAAGTAAGTAAGTAAGTAAGTAAGTAAGTAAGTAAGTAAGTAAGTAAGTAAGTAAGTAAGTAAGTAAGTAAGTAAGTAAGTAAGTAAGTAAGTAAGTAAGTAAGTAAGTAAGTAAGTAAGTAAGTAAGTAAGTAAGTAAGTAAGTAAGTAAGTAAGTAAGTAAGTAAGTAAGTAAGTAAGTAAGTAAGTAAGTAAGTAAGTAAGTAAGTAAGTAAGTAAGTAAGTAAGTAAGTAAGTAAGTAAGTAAGTAAGTAAGTAAGTAAGTAAGTAAGTAAATATCATTCTCGGGTAATAGCAAATTCAAATGAATGATAGTAATATCGTATCACGAACACATAGAAGAATGTAATTAGCAGTAGGTCGACCGTAACTACAGCTAGACTTAAAGTTGGAAAGAACAAAATTGTTGTGTTTACTTTTTATTAAGTTCTCTGATTAATTCATTCCTCAAGTTGATCATCATTGTTTCTATGATGTTGAATATTTTAAATTGATTGAAAGATGAATTGATGAAGAATATCCCATGTATTGTGAGATTCCACTAATAAACTCTTATTTTGAATTTTTGATAAAGAAATTTTGTCGATAAGCCCTATCAACATCGCTATAATTCAAAAGTATGTCTATGTTCACTTCCGTTCAAACTAATAGTGAGAATGTCAGTGTAAGGTTTATTTTCGTTTAGAAAAAATATATTGTTCAACTTAAAATTATATGTAATCACGTTTGTAAATCAAATTGTATTCTTCAATTAACAGGGTTATTGTCAGGTGTGGGTTGAATACTACACATCTTCTTACTGTATACATGAATTTGGATTTACATCGGTCCAACAAATGTATGCCAGAGAAATATGGCAGTCAGTTCTCTGTTTGAAACTCAAATAGGCGTTGACAGTCATTGGTTAATATTGTGTCTGTTAGATGAAACTATCTAATATGTTAATTAAACCACAATAAAAATCATCTATCACTACTGAAATAGCTTTGTGTTAATGGTTATGATACTTTTACTAGGATGTTAAGAATCCATGTTACTATGTTCAGATAGAGGATTTAAAAAGTATGGCTACCTTTTTTATTTGTTCCAGCTAATATCTGTTTTCAGATGACCTTGTTATTTGTAAATTAAACTTACCAAAATGACTAAAGACCACTGAGAAAATCATTTCTAACCATCAATATAATCAAAGAACAGTAGCATACCATAACTTACTTAAGTATATTATACAGCCACGTTACTTAACAATAACTATATATTATGGATTGTATTAAAAGACAATGCAAATCTTTCATTTTAATCATACGTTTAAAGTGAAGGAACAAGCAGCTCTACAGCATACTGTACAATTTTTATCAACAGACTGTAATCATCATCAGAACAGATAAAAGAAGGTAAATTAGTAATCAATATGAGTATAGAAATATACAGTTGGAACACAGCTGGTTGGATTTTCGGATACGAATTTTGTTATGTAATGAATTTCCACGCAACATATATACCTGTTAATGTTTAAAAGTATAGAACTGTTTGCAAACCTAGCTGATTAATTTTCATGTGTATTCGAAACCGTCATGTTTCTTTCCTCGTATTTTTGACAGTTAGTTAATTAGAATCTTAGAATGACAATTTTGGGATAATTCATTGCGAGTTTATAAAATTTTTTAACTTGTTTCAAATAATATATATAATATGGAGAGCCAATCAGAAGTAGCCTAATGAGAAGGTCAATCAATGGCAATCAGATGTTACCTAAAGTACAAGTACATTTCATTGGGTAAGGAATGGATCAATTTCCTAAGAATTAGAGTGGTATATATATGAATGAGTATCTGTGTATTTTATCCTGTAGCCCAAAACACTTTCTCGCTTACTCTTGTGTTCTCGCTTAAGTATTCAGTGGTAGGGTTAGTACGTAGCATATCGTGTATCAGTATCATATATATATAAATATATAATAGTTTTGGAGTGGAAAAAAACTGTGACAGAAATGTTGTCTTGGTCACATGATTAATGTCTTTAAATTGTTTCCAATTTTATTGAATTAAATTTTTTATGTAGTTCATTTAAAAAATATTTCCATACATTAACTTTTTACTTTAAAACAGATGGCAAACTACATGAATACAGTAGTTACGAAAAGATAATTTCAATAGTCTTTGAGTTATTTGCTAATAATTGCCATAAAGATAAAATTTAGTAAGATTTACTATTTAAACAAAATGATTAAGTGACTTAAGTGAGAATAAACCGAAAAAATATCACTTCATAATTATTTACGTTTCAACATGAATGATAAGTAGGGACATTTCTTATTGAAATGTTAGCCGAAAACGCATGTGAGAAATAGTTTTGTGTATTAATTACAATTGTGATTAGATTAATATCATAAAATGAATCATTGTTAAGTATACAAATCAAATAGAACCGAAACCAGAAATTAAATTAAGCAATGGCTATCATGTATAATCATCATTACGTCTTCATAGATATTTTGATACTGAATGCTGTAAGCTATATGAACACTGCTGTTGAGATGAGTGGTGTGTAGCATGCTAAAAATACCATGTCTTGGTTTGGTACTTCTAGCAGAGCCTTTCCGAAATGTTTTTATTCCAATCAGCTTCAAGGCTAGAGCTAAATTGTCATGTGTAACTGACGTTCTAACCACGCTAATTGACTAGCTATCTTCAATTCAGCGGTTCTATGAAATTTAGTGTCATAAATATTCAAAGTAGACTGAAGTTTTTTGTGGTTTTTGAGTTACGATTGAGAATTTATATTAATCAGTTTTACTTTTGTATACCAAAAACTGTTATTACAAGTCAGGTGATGTAAAAATATGTTTACTTTTTAATCTAGACTTCAACAAAATTACTAATTTAAAAAAAGAATCTAAATCCCAATGGAAGAATTTAATGGATTTAAAAGTTAAATTTATTTGGGTTGATAAATAGAATTTTCGTTGAGCAGAAGCAAAATTCTGAACGTGTTTCACTCTTTCATTCGTAGAATTTAGTCGTAAACTCTCTTTTTTTCTAGGCGACATCATCAATACATATTTTAAAAAAAGAAAATAGAGACCAAACTATCTGGCACACAGAAGACAACACATTTAAAAGTTTATTTCGGTTGATAAATTCTTACCAAACAATATTCGTTCAGAATCATTCCAATATTTAATTTCATTGTTGATATGCCTAATTTTTTGCTACGTATTGATTTCTTTGGTACAAAGATAATATTTATAATCAATGTTATCCTATATTGAAACACTTTATTTTTGCAGTAAACAACAGTGTTTGGGGGGGCAGGGGGGATACCATTTAAGTTATCGGTTATAAGTTTGGGAAAATTAGAGGATAGAAAATAGAGAACAAATTAGTTTTGATAAATGAGATAAATTTGACTAATTAGATGAAAGCAAATATTTAATGAAGTTGTCAGTCAGTTTTGTTTTTCTATTAATTAGATAATTATTTAACTTATTTAATTGCAATACATATGTACTAGTCTAAGCCGGATGGAAATGTTTGTATTCATTTCAAATGGAGAAATTATTTCTTATTTATAATTTTTAAAAAAATGTTAATTGTTTATAAAAAGAAAAGAACGTAATTCCGAATATTGTTGTATTGTAATAAGGAGCAATTTGGCGTTCCCTGATTAAAAAAAAAAGAAAAACACAATGATAAACATAATGCTAATTATATATTTAGAAAATACATTTGGA